AGTTACTGACTAATTGGACTTTTCAGTAGTTTGTATTACGCAGTAACTTTTTGGGGTGACATTTTCAGTTTGTCCTTTACTACACTTCAGCAGATCCTGCTCTATTGATTCAGCTTTTATTTTTTCAGATTGTGTATGGTTATGAACCCATAAATAGATGATTTGGGAATTGAATATTCCAAATCTGGATATTTGTTCACTTAAACACTAATTAGTAGCACCTCCACCACTTTTACGTTAATTAAGCCACTACAACAAAAAACGTGACCTACCATTGGTATACTAGAAACAAAAGCGCGCACTTTGTTAGTATTTTCCCAATATGGACTCGAGTAGAATAGCCAGCCTTGCATGATCCTGAAAAATTATCAATTTTTTTTGTTAACTCACTTTTGGAACGGATGTCAAAAGGGCCCGGACCTTCGGACGAGTCCAAAATAAAATTGAATGTACGAACAACCAGCCTTGCATTACCCTGAGAAAAAAAATATCAAATACCAGTCAGGTATGTTTGTGAAAGTGATGCTCGGAAACAGGAAGCAACTGAAGGTTTGATATCAGGAATTACAGATTGAAAAACAGAAGAGATAAGATTCAGATTAAGAGGTGAAGTAGATATTTACAGAAAATATAAAGAAACATACTGTATTAGTCAATGCGAAATCGACAGGGTGGGTTTGCAGTTGTTTTGTTAGTGTGCAGTTTATACATCCCTCACCCCAGCCAGGATAGATGTCCTCCTAAATGACGCTTTATTAAAAAGTGTGTATTCCGTGCCGAGAGGATGTATAACTCTAATCCCACTAATCACTCATGGCCCAAGAAGTAAACAAAATCCCGGACCTGTCTACAGATGAGATGGATGTGCACTAAAAGGCCACCACTGTCTTCGCTATAATAAAAGATCAAGAAAATGAGCACCTCAGTTTTTTGAGCTGAGTTCACAGAGACAAGATAGAGATGGATCAAACGACCCCGACTGTGACATTGGATCGAGAGCAGGAGTTCGTCTATTTTCCAACTCTTGAACAAATCTAGGAGACTAGGCGGTGTAACTAGGAAGCGACTCATCACGTCGTGTAGAGCAAGATATTATATGAATCTGCCTTTAACAAATTTTTGAGCAGCAAAAGCAGAATATGCATCGGGAGAGAAAATGAAAAAAATATCCCCCAAGATCGAGAACAGGAGCTTCTTATTTCTCTAAATCTTTTACAAACCAAAGATTAAGTCAAGCAGCCAGGAAGCGATTTGCCGCCTCCTCAAGAGCAGGACATTTCAGGAATATGCTTTTCACCAAACTCTTGAGCAGCAGCAGAAGCAGAATTTTCATTGGTAGAGAAAATAATCTACATCTGAACAGGTCCTATAGATATTCTAAGGAGATGAAAGATAAAGAGGAGGTGGACGTCGAATTAACGACCCCAACTATCCCTCTTGTGATAAAGTATAAAGGGAAAACACCTCAGTTCTCCAGTTTATAAGCTCAGCTCAGAAGGATGTGGAGTTGACACCAACTAACTTTCCTGTGTAACATCGGATCAAGAGCGGCAGCTTTTCAGTTCCTCCTTTTAAATAATCCTATAGGAAGTTCTCACTGGAATGAGAAAAATGTATCATGGAAAGTATTATTTTTGACTAGTAAATTCAGGCCCAGGAAGCAGAGCACGTAATCGGTGCCTGATCAAGGTGTAGTTCCGTTATTATTTAAAGCCTGTTCCTGTTTTATCGACATAGTTTTGTTTTTTAGATGGCCCCTTCATGAAGTCCAGGTGATACAATGGTTGAAAAAAACAACAATTTCAACTGAGAAGCTGAAATGTCTCAGTTTGTTAAAGGTTTGATAATTTTTGGGGTTTCGCCGTTCAAATTTAAAATATCTGATCATTATCAAGGTGTCAAATCTATTTTCTGGGTTTTCCTGGGTTTTTATGCCACATTTTGTGTAAGACTGCGGTAGATATTATCAAAAACGATGAGATAACAGACGAAGTGTTCTGGTTGTCCTCAGAGCAGATACTATATAACTATCAGCTACTTATTTCTGTATTTCTGAATTTCTACTGCTTTTCTATATTGTCTGGGATTGAACAGGTTTAGGTCTCTTCGAAAACATAACGTTGGTACCTTCTCTGAGTACATGTTACACTGCTTGCTCTCAGAGTAAGACGAACCGATAAATCAGCCGAAGCGATTTATTCACTTAGAGAAGGTACCAATTTATCGCCCTGGACAGTTATTTTCTCGATAAAACGATCTAAGACCATATAAGAAAGCAATATAAATTGAGAAACAAAAAAACTATTCCAATGGAAAGGAAGAGATAATCAACTTTAATAAAATATGGCTACCTGCACTTCATTGCTCTCGTATTAGGTAAATCAACCAATAGGAATGAAGCCATACCTATTACCAATGAAATTTATAGAACTCAACAAATTCATTACTTTATGCTGCGATGACAACCAAAACACTTAGTGCGTTGTCTCATCGCCTCTGATAATGCCTCTCGCAATCGTAGGCCAGGCATAAAACCTTCAGTAAACCCGAAAAATAGCTTTGGCACAGTTATCTCCTGTCTGCTTTTATCAATGTCAAGTGTTTTGTGTATCTCAACACTACCTTACCAAATGGCTTCTGGATCAACTTCTATCATAGCAGAATATATACTCTTGCCAACATTTGCCAGATACGTCAGATCAGAAGTGGAGGGATCCACCTCATTGAAGCTGTCGCAGTTGTAAACATGATCTGTTCCAAATTCAGCCGTTTGCTGAAAAATCAAAATGAGAAACGAAAATGTTTGCATTGTTATTGAGATACCTCTTTTAAAAACATCTTTCCTATATTTTTGAACATGGGCTCGGTGGGCTCCAAGAAGTTGGGACAGCAATAGGTGTCATTGAATTGATTCCATTTTTCCATCTGAGTTACATTGACGTTGGGGTAGACTCTAGAGAAAACATACTGGAAAGTACTTTTTTACCAATTTGTATTTCATACCTCTTGAAAGCCCTCGGTAGATGTCCGGCAAAAGCTGGCAGAACTGGAATAATACCCAGATTTCTCATTTTCTCCAAGATTTTTTTCTGCAACCAGATGGATCTATCATGCCAAGCTTTGGATAGTGGTCCAGCCCAACCTCGAATGTTTCCCATTCTCAACCTTCAAAAAACGAGTTAGTGATTTCAGAAAATTCTTGACTGCTAAAGAGATATTTAATATTTTTTCAAGAGCTCAACTGCTCTCATAGAAGAGAGAGCAAACATTAACAAGAGTACCAGAAATTCATACTAGACCCGTCTTATTTATTCACCATGATAAAAACGCTGGTCCCGTGAAATGTTCATCAATATCTTGCTGAGTTAGATTGAGTTTTTTATATACTCTTTCCCAAATTGCTTCTTGGCCGTTGAAGGCGAGAACCAGGTTGAAAGAATTCAAAGCCATCCAGTCAATGTGTGTCTCCCATTGTTTCCAGTTCCACCAAACAAAACTGTAGCTTGTGGTGCAGACGTTTTGATAATAACGGAATCTGAAAATTGAGATGCCTTTTTCACAATGAGTGAATGATGAGTGAATAATTCAAACGTGTTGGTGGCTGTGGAATGATGATTCATTGTTATAAAAGTTATACTTTTTTGAAGACATTTTTATGGAGGAGTCAGTGTTCCTTACTTTCCTTTTTTCCAAATCTGAAAACAAAGCTTCATTTCATGCATGATTTCCATTGATTTCAATGGAAAGTTTGCTGAAGGGAAAATTGAAAAGCTTGTCAAATGAAATATATCTATTTTTGTCTGAGGTGTTTTTACAAGTGAAAATTTTTGATTTTGAGAATGGAAAGCGATTGCTTTTCGAAACAATAACCATCTATAGCTAAGCATATAGATTTATTTTCATTTTCGAAAGAATATTCAAACAATAGGTATTATTTATGAATACCACTGAGTGGAATTTTCTGTGGTATAAATTACGCAACAATTTTTCACGTAATATTTTAGTTTCTCCTTTATTACACGTCAGCTTCAGATTAAACTTCGTTTATTCTTTCAGTTGAAAGACTGAATATCTAAAAACAGTAAGATATTTTCCAAGTCAGGAATAAATACAAATCTTTCATCTTTGTAGATTCTTATAAATATATCGACTCTCACCTATCATTCAAGGTGATTGTGATATTGACTGCAGGAAGGACTTCGGGGAGATTCAGTTGAGATGTTTCCCAAGATATATGAGCATTACAGTAATATTTCAGATAATGGTGGAAACCTGTAGTAGCAGCCACTCCAGTTGTCCCTTTGATTCTGATTTTTCCATTCAGTTTCCTGATCTACAAAAGTCTTTTCTTGAAAAATATCAAAAGCCTATTCTTTAAACGACATTTTTTGTGGAGGACTCAATATTTTATACTGATTTTTTGGGTTTATAACCTTCCACAGTTTGAAAAACATGAAAGATAAATCAGTAGAGAATCCGCTGAAGTGTAGTAAAAGGGCAAACTGAAAAGTTCATCCCGAAAAGTTACTACGTAATATAAACTACTGAAGAGTCCAGTTAGTCATAAATTTTTCCTACAAATTTAAAATGAAAATCAATTGAAAATATTAAATATTGATACTTAGCTTTCGGAAAACAATTCTCTTTCGTTTTCAAAACATGTATTCCCTAGGAAAATCTCGCCTCAAATTGTGATATTTCTAATTTCTTTCGACATAAGTCAAAAAATGGAATGTACAGATGTCACACGCGATAGTCTACTTGAACACACATTTCTATAGTTTGCCACAAATGCACAAACAAAATTGTCCTCTGAGACCAATTATCAGTTCAATCAGTTCTGCGTGTCAAAAACTTGCAAAATATCTTCTCCAAATATTGAAACTTTTGTCTGGAAATAGAAACAGTTACATAAAGAATACTTCCGATTTCTTTAAAAAACTTGAATTAAAAACTCGGAACGGAGATCTCGTGGTGAGTTTCGATGTTGTGAGTTTGTTCACCAATGATCCGGTTGATAAAACCCTAAGAATCATAAGAACTTAATTAGAAAATGATGTCAATCTCAAAAATAGAACGAAAGTGAATGTAGAAGCTATTTTGGAGATTCTAAAATTATGTACCGATAAAACTTTTTTCCAGTTCAAGGGGGATTCTTATCAACAAGAATTTGGAATTGCAATGGGCTCACTCTTGTCACCGATTCTGAGTGACATTTTTGTGGAGCAAAGATATGGTGGAGATATGTTGATGATGTGTTCGTTATTTGGGATCATAACTCAGACGATATCAACGTTTTCTGGAAGTATTTGAACTCAAGAGAACCCACGATGAAATTTTGAAAGGGAAAATCATAAACAACTTACTTTTCTCGATGTTATGATCAAAAAATCGAAGAATACTCTCAATACAAGTGTGTATCAAAAGAAAACTCATACCAACTCCACTATGAAACTAATCACCATGCTAGCGTCAAAGAAGGTATAGTTATAAGCAGTTCATAATATGAAAGAGTAAATAACTATCATTAAGAGAGTTTTTTAGCAAAACGAAGCAGTTTGTTGAAAGAGCTTTGGATGAAGTTGGTGAAAGCACATACCACACAACTAACATCAATAACAAAATAGCAAAAAAATTTGTTCAAAAATATTGAATTTCTCTATTTGTTTAAAACAATTTAATAAACAAATTACGTAAAAAAATTCATATCCTATGTTAATAACTGCCATTGTTTAATGTACCTTTATCTCTATTTTTCATGTTTTTGGACTTGTTGATTAGACTAACAGTTTGAGGTGAGATTTTCATAGTGAATTGAGGTTTTGAAAACGGAAAAGTATTGTTTTTCGAAACTTCAACCAGTTAAGAAAGCTGAGTATCAATAATTGATAGTTTCAATTGATTTTTGTTTTCAATTTGTAGGCAAAATTCATGAATACATGTTACTGACTAATTGTACTCTCTAGTAGTTTATATTACGCAGTAACTTTCCGGGGTGAACTTTTCAGTTTGCCCTTTTACTACACTTCAGCAGATTCTCTATTGATTTATCTTTCGTTTTTTCAGATTGTGGAAGATTATAAACCCAAAAATTCAGTATAAAATATCAGAAGAATGATTCGATATGTAAATATACTGATTTTTCAATCATTGTTAACTTATTTCTTGTGGCAAGTTAGTTGAAAGAGAGGATTTATAATGTTATTGAAGTTGGTCTCTATATGAGAGTCTTGAAACAGTATTGTGAACAGTCAAGAAGAGATAGATTTCACGATGTGTTGGCTAGGAAAGACCACCTGGATATATTTTTCATACTGTTCTATTTTCAATTATCACTGAAATTCAAATTGTTGAATTTACTATCAGAATTTATGTTAAAAACTGGTTATTTCATTTTCATAGGTCAACGACAACAAGTAGATCAGTACATGAAATAGTTTTTCCAGTTTAAATAATAAAACGTTTCATTTTTCATTGCATTATTTGTATTTTGTCAGGTGACTGATTTCAATATTCACATGGAATTTTGATTATCAATTTTCAAATTGATCATTGTTTCAGAAATGTTCAGAAATACTATTACCAAAATAACTACTACTCCTTCAGAAAAAATTACCACAAGTTTCATATATTCATTTCCGATACGAAATCTTCAATTTATTGAAACCTCTAAAGTAGCTCTTTGAATTAGTCATATATTGATATCATTTTTTTATACATGAACTTCAGTTTATTTCAACTATGAATACTTTGTCGCTGTTAATTTTCTTGATTAAAATATTCCTCCATTAATTTCATTATTACAAATTTCAATTTTTTGAGTTGACTCGTTCAAAAAATAAAAGGGGAGGGACATTAAAAAATGCACTGTATACTCATTTCTTTTGGGATGAAAATGAATGAAAAGAGTCATGATAAACGCGTACGGGTTACCGTTAGAGAGTCGATCAGACTCGCTCACTTCGAACCTAACCTTAAAAAGAAACGGTTTGTCAATATTTCTCACAGAAATATTCTGAAAAAAAAAGTACATACCTCAAATGTGTCTTTGCCAATTGGCCCCAACTTGGGATCGACCTCAATGAAAAATTCATCAGCCCGCCCTGGAATAGTTCTTCTGATTACTTCGTAGGCAGCTTTTGACTGCACTTCTGGACTGGTTTGGGGTTTGATATGTCCCAGTGTATCATGAAATGCTTAAAGATAGTAGTAAAATATAATTGAAACATAACTTGAGTGTACTTTTTATAATAAAATTAAAAAGGTACGACATAACTAGTTCAAAAAACATCCCCTAGTAGTGCAAACTTGGTTCAATACGATTAGATTCAAAGTTAACTCAAAATAGAGGGTGTTTAGTAATTGAATGAAACCGTGTTAGAAATCACACGTTAAAAGGTAAGACCTCGTTAGTCCTTATCTCGCACAAATTTCTCAACTTCTGAGAGTTGTCGTTCGTATGGGGGTGACGGCTGATTAACGGAAAAATAGATTTTAAACAGATAGATGTTTGAACCTAAACTTTGACTACCTATGGTTAAAGAAAATTTATAAAGATTGTCAATTTCTTCAAAAACTTACATGCTCAATAATTGAGCAAACAATTTTTCAGAGGGATGCCATGAATTTCTTCGCCCACCATGTAGGGGGAAGAAATTCAGAAATGTAAGCAACAGTGCTGTGAAATAATTTATTTTTAAGTAACTGATTCTACTCAAAAGAACAAGAAGTGACACTTCAATTTGAAGTACTAACTAATCAAAAATCTTAAGAAGAAAACAGGAACTCGAAGTAGGTATTGAAATTTGTGAAAACTACATTAAAAAATTTCATGCGAACATATTGTAAAAAATTAGGTGGATGTTCTAATTTCGCGGTCTGATTTTTTTAATTTTTTTTTATGTTGGTGAGACGCATGAAAGTCGGCATACCGACTGGCTCATGCCTCGGCTCGGGAAGTTTGGACATGAACATGTGACTGCTAAGTTCGTTCCAAAATTGATGAACTTTGACCAAAAAATCAACGCATGAGCATCACTCAGGAATTATTGAATGACGTCATCGGCGATCCTGATTAAAAGGGTTACAACTGGTGACGAACCATGGGTATATGGTTATGACATGGAAACCAAAGTCCAATAATTCCAATGGAAGAGCTGAGGAGAGCAAAGATAAAAAAATACGCCATGGAGAGTTCTTGCCACATAGTCAATAAGGAATATTACCTTGAAGTTATGCGCGGCTTGCGAGAATCGATACGAAGAAAACGATCGGTATTGTGGAAAAATAATTCATAGCTGTTGCATCACGATAATACACCTGCTCAGTAGTAATTGTCCGTAATTTTTTCACGAAAACAACACCGTTATCATGCCTCAGCCAACGTATTCACCAGATTTGCTCCCATGCGACTTTTTCCTGTTCCCAAGATTGAATAGACCGATAGAAGGATGGCGTTTTTGCGACGATTGAGCAGATAAAAACCGAATCACTGAGAGAGCTCTAGGACATACCAAAAAGTGCATATATCAGAACTATTTCATCTGAGGAGGAGTACTTTGAAGGGTAAAAAATAGAAATTGATAAATGAATCACTATTTTTTTATGAAAATTGATATTCACCTTATTTTTTGAACAGACAGCATATTAAGGTTCAAAATTCCTGAATTTTCTTCCTTAAGAATAAAAAAAATATAGAGGTCTATGAAATTTTATAAAAACGATTGAAAAAATTCATGCATTTTCCATCCCAAACATTTTTTTATTCTTTATTTCATTATACTGCTTGTAATACCATGTGATATTTTTTTATTTTGCACACTTTATATTAGCTTCACGTGTATGTATGTATGTTTGTTTGTAACTGTCATGCTCGGGATCTATATTTGACAGAATCATCGACATTATTGCTTGATCTATTCTCGGGCAGATGGCGCTGTACGTAAGCTCCTTGATATATCGACATTATTGCTTGATCTATTTGCGGGCAAATGGCGCTGTACGTAACCTTCTGGATATAATTTTAACTCATTTTACATGTATTTCTTCATTTGAAAAAAGTATTTTTTTTATTAACACGCGCGCTTGCTGCCTTATTTGCAACCCTCCTTTGCGCGCTTGCTGCCTTCGGCTTGGTAGCTGATTTTCAGGCTCCCTCTCCGGAATCGGAAAAAATCAATGGTCATTTTTCTAAACAATATACGGTTGATTGATCCCAAAGTTTAGATGAAATGAATATAGTTTAAAAATATTAAAAAACACGCTTTTACAGCAAACGAAACTGAAAAATGGAAAATAAATATAGTTTGAAACCCTAAAAAACACGCTTTTGAAGAACATCGAACTGAAAAGTTAAAAAAAAAATTTAACAAGCCTAAAACAATAACGAACGAAAAATACTAGTATTATTGGACGCTTTGTACCATTATTTTGTTTATCAAGCGCCCGTCGCTTTTTTCACAATAATACTAGTATTTTTCGTTCGTTATTGTTTTAACCTTATTTAAAAGCGATGTTCTTTGNAAAATTTCCTGTTTCTATGAAAACATTTTCAGAACATTTTTTTGTGTAGAATTCAACGGTGTAAAAATCATATTTTTTCAATGTTGTGAAATGAGTTATTGATGGAAAACTATTGTTTTCAATGAGACACTCTGTATATTGTTGCATATTTCAATAGAGTCCAAAATTACCTTTACAAAAATGTAGCACACTTGATGTTTTGCTAGTCATCTTTGAAATATAGAGCATTTACGGTTTTTCATGTACTTTGAAAGGCACACTTTGGTTAAGTAGGCTTTTGACGATGCGGCCATAAAACAGAATGCTCTTCAATTATTGACGCTCTTCAATTATTGGTTTTTGTTCAATTTTCAAACACATTCGCAATGAAGTATGAGAATTATGAAAAATAAGATACGACAGTCTGGACCAGAAAAGTTCATAAACTCAGACCAGAAAACTTTAAAAGCCGCATGGCTGTTTGCCAGTGGTTCCTGAAAAGTTGTAACCAAGTGCGTGAATTTATGTTAAATTATATTTTAATTTAAAGAAATGAACTTTAAACGTTCAAGCCCGCTCGAATATACCTACACAGTAGGTTGAATGGACTGACGCCTATCAGAAAACAACTACTCCCCTAGCTAATACCACGAAGGGCATTGGATTATGTCCGACAGGCGTCAGTGCAGGAATCTTCAGAGAAAAACCTACTGTGTAGGTTTATCCAAGACGGGCTTGAACGTTTAAAGTTCATTTCTTCAGATATGTTTACTGCCAGTCTCCAAATATAGCCCACTGACTAATAAGAAAGTTTGTCTTCCTTATTCAGAGGAATCGAATATGCAGTTGTTAGTACCTCGTCCAATAGATGGAGTGACATTTTGTTGTTCGCTCCAACTTAGGAAGAGGAATGAAATACTCTGAAAGAATTCCGATTTTCAATTATGGAATATCATTGACTTGAGGTCGAGGACTTGAGTGGCTAATGAGCCCGAAACCTGTCTGCAAGTGTGCCCGTTCCGAAATTGAAGGTCGATTCTTTCAGTTGTATTGCCAATTGCATATGCAGGGAATTTTCTGTGAAGATTCCTGCACTGACGACTGTCGGATATAATCCAACGCCCTTCGTGGTATTAG